TCCTCATCGTCCTCGGCATCATTAGCATCATCGTCATCCGCCTCCGCCAAGGCCACGATGATCATCGAGGATTATCTTCATGATTATCGTCTTGTAGGGCCATATCAATCGGGGTTGTAGAGTTGCTAATGTCGTCTGAGGATCTACTACGCGCTCTTCGAGGAGAGTCTTCTGTCGCTGGGGTCTGGCACGTGATTTAGGACGAGCTTTGTGACAAAACTCTAAACTTATAATCTCGCGACATGAGAGTCTTTTGATTGCTGCTTGTCCGCAAGCTCGACGCCTCGACACCGTTAGCCCCCGAACACCCAAGCCTTAACTCGCACGACCGCAGAAGCCGTTATCCTTATGGAGCAGTCCAGGTCCCGCTACAGCTTCACTGGAGTGGTGATGATGCTAATGATGCTGGTGGTGATGATGTAGAAGATGATGCTGACGATATCTGACGATGACGACACTAGTACTGGCGGTAGCAGTAGTGGTGATGCAGACGTTTTGTAAAAACTGACACGGGCAGTAATATTACTAACGATGACTACAGGGGCAATACTAACTTTGACCATGCATGATCGTCACGACGACGACGATGATGATGATGACGATGACAATGATGATGATGATGATGATGATGATGATGATGATGACGAGGCTGATGGGACAAGCGCCGGGCACAGACAAGTGCTCGTCGCATCAGCCTCGGCGTTTTATGTGGACGCTGCGTATCGAGAGAGATGATGCTGACGCTAATGCACCGCTGGTCATAACATAGCTGTAAAGATATTCATCAAGCGCAACATTGCAGTTGAATGCTGCATCCTTCCCGGAAGATGTGACTATCCGCCGCAGCTCACTCGGCCTTCAGGTTTTCTGATGCGCTTTTGAAGCTCTGTGTTCTGAAACGTAACTCGGAGCAGCGCACATGGCGAAAGTTCTCATCCTTGCAGTCGAAAGGTTCGGAACATGAGCCCAACAAGTTTAATCCCTTGCAGTCTGCTGCGATCCCCTACGGGCTGACTGGATGACTTGATTGCTGTTCTGACGTTTGATTGCGAAACTGTGAATCCTGAAAGCCCTGAAGGGCTAACGCGGCTAAGGGTTTCCATGGCAGAAGCTGTTGCTGCGCCGGCGCGCTGCCATGCCGAGCTCCGGCGAAGCTTTTGGAGAGGCTAGGTTCGCCTTTTGATTTGTATTTTCTTTGGAGGGCTATGGAGGTTAGAAGAGACTCCTGGACCCTTGCTGAGGTTGACGGCTTTACACGACCTCCGTTTGTTTCATTGGCCAATGTCCTCAATGAAACGTAGGACTTCTCCGGCTCAGAAGCCCGAAAGGGTAGCATGAGACATTGCACATTCCCTCGCGTCCTGTCGCCAGGCTGGGGTGCCTCCAGGCTTAAGGGCTTTTCAGGGTTTCTGGCTTGGGATCACAGCCAACGTTTTGGCTCATCAAATGCAGCCATTTGTCGTGGTCTCTACCCACCTCGTATCCGTTCCTTTTGTTTTCTCCGTAGTCTACGGCAAGGCATTTTGCAGTTGTCCTGTCAGCCGAGCCACCCTTTCTCAAACTACACATCCCGATCGCTTGGCTCTGCACTGTGGAGCCAACAACTCTATTTTTAGCTTTGAACTTGTTCTGACCAAACCATGCCGCGGGCCTTACGAGTTTCAGCGCGCAGGACCTTGTGCTTGGCGAACGCGGACAGCCTTCGTCCAGGCCCCAATTCCGAGGGCATGTGGTCTCTCAATCAGCCATCAGCGAAACAGCACTACTGCTGCCACTGGTGTGAGCACGAATACAGGTGTTGGGTGCATCTCTCGAAGATGCACAAACCTCATGCCCCAGTGTCCTAATAATTTCAGAAGGCCGGAAGCATCCCCAAGTCCTCAATTTGAGAGCTTCTCCTTAGAAGCGGATGCCGCTCACTGCTGCGCACAGGCGAACGAACACTTGCCCCCAGTGTCCTTTTGTGATATTGTGATAATCCTGAGTCGCAAGGCCGACCCCCCAAAAGCACGGCAGCTTCTGAAGCCTGTCAGACTCGACGTGGCCAATCTGCTCATCGAAAGCACAGAGTCACTGGGACATGTAAGGCTCAGTGTGGCGGACAGCTAGAAGTAGGCGTAGGGTTCGGAAGGGGTGTGTTGTGGGATGCTTTGTATATGAAGACTCGAAATGCTCAGGGTAGCGAGGGCCCAGGGTTCGGGGCGGGTGCGTAGTTCAGGACAAACAAGACACGGACAGGGCCTACAGTCTTGATGGTGCCCAGAATGGAAGCTTTCTCAAGAAGCTTCAAGAACTAAAAGCCGTGCTCTTCTATGGCCTTCTACACTTGTAGTCGAATCTATCCCGCACAGCCCTGTTCCCTACTGCACAAGGCAGGGCTGAAGTCTTAGAGTCTTGCTTATGCCTCGCGTGTACGATTCGGGGTTAAGCACCCGCAAGCCGGCGCATGAACCTTGGAGTCACTTGGGACTCGACTTGTACTTGATGCGATGCCCAGGTCACGCTTGGCACTAGACGTACATGGCCACTTGGCTAGTGAAGCGCGCAGGGGCTGGGATCGGGAGCACTTGGGTGATAAACCCGAAAGCCTGCCTGACGTTCCGCTGGACCACAAATCCCAAGCCCGAAGGGATAGGATGGGAGAAGGGACCTGAAAGGCTTCCTGCTCGTGCTCACAAGTTCCTCGCGAAGCCGGTAAATCAAATTTCAAGTTCAACCTCCTGGCATCAGCAAGGCATCCCACCTTCGAGCTCGGGGATTCTGATTGCAAAAGTCTTGGGGTTCAGGATTTGTGCCCGACCCTTGAGAATGAAGTTTCCAAGCACTCCCCAGGATTTCAGGCCATCATCACTGCCTGCGCTCGGGCTGCACAGTGGCGCGATGCTTTGCAAATTCTGACACTTGACATGCAGTGGCCTCCCCCGAGCCCTGCTCCTCTAAGACTCTAAGCTTTTCTTCTGCTACGACCACCGCGGCCACAACGACCACCACGACCACCACGACCACCGCGACCAACGAAGGAGGAGGAGGAGGAGGAGAAGGAGGAGGACGAGGACGACGAGGAGAAGGAGCATTACCACAAGCAAGAGCACGATGACGAGCACGCGCACGACGACGAGAACGAGCAAGACGACCAACGTGAGCATGACGACGAGCATGACGACTAGTACTTGTAGTAGCATGCAGCAGGAGTGAAAGTATGAGTCGTCGTAGTAGTAGTTAGTAGTAGTAGTAGTAGTAGTAGTAGTAGTAGTAGTAGTAGTAGTATCTAGAAGTTGTATTTGTAGTTGTAGTAGTTCATCCTGACTGTGCCAGCTCATGTAGAGGAGCTCAATCTCCAGGC